AAGTAGAACTAACGAGGCAAGGCCATTATCTCCCCACGGTATGTAACGAGGCGAGGTGCTAAATCCAAAGTACACATTTAAGCCACAAGGTACACGAGGCAAGAAATGAAGTAGTTTCCCCAGGGAAATGTCAATGGGCACTTGGGGAAGATCCATTGACAGTGCTGACATCGTCACCCCTTGTAGTGGGGCTTGGAGCAAGTGAAATGAAATGTGAATATGATTGATATACATGTAAAGATAATTACAATGTATATAATTATATATATATATATACAGTACATATTTTATTGAATATATACTATCATATATACATGATAAAATCATGTATAATCTATGAACGTGTATATATATATATATATATACACACATATACACCACAAAAGGGGAGAACCCTTTGGTTGGACCTTAAAGCACGACACAAAAAAGCACCTTTCTTACGAGGTCATCTACATCTCCTTGAAACGCGGCTCTTTGGAGTGATCCATTTGCCAGCAAGGACAGTGGCCGTGGTCAAATAATGGGATTAAAATGGAATCAACCATCTACCAGCTGGTACCCTCTGGTTATGTCAAAATAGCTATTGAAAATGACCATTAATAGTGGATTTTCCCATTAAAAATGGTGATTTTCCATAGCTATGTTAAATTACCAGCTGGTATATTATAATGGAATAATAATGATGGATAATGGTTAATAATGATTAATGAATAATAGTGGTTAATAACTGTTAATTTACCAGCTGGTATATCACTTACCATTGGAAATGATCCATCTACCAGCTGGATATGTGCCAAAAAACATTTATAGTGGCTCCTCTGCACGTTTATGTTTAGAAACTTTTAAGAGATGTGTATTGAGGGCTGTAAACCAAACATGATCTCATGATATCAGATAATGGTGAAACTGAAAGTCTGATGACGAATATTGGATAAGCAACAAAACAATTTGCTTAATTTACATTGTAATTTGTTTACATTATTAAATTAACTTGAATTGTTCACGTTATTACCATTGTAATAATAAATTGTTTACATTATTTTACATTGTTAAGATTTACAGGTGGTGTCAAGCATTGTTTATATTGCATATAGTTTTCGTTTTCGTTTGGTATAAGTTCTAATGACTACCTGCTTGGTGGTTTCACTGTTGGGTGGCTCAAACACCTCATGATCTGCGCAAAACCTGCCAGTTGTAGATCATTCTCCTAGGGAAATTGATTGGTTTTCCACATCTCACCGTTGACCGTAGGGTAAGTCCCTGTTTTTCATGGTGAAATCCACATGACATCACCATGTTTGATGGAAAATATCTCCCCAGTTCTGTTGCATAACGTGTCAATACGGAGGAGGCATTGCGTTGCCAGAGCGGGCGGACGGTAAGCCGGAAACGCGGGGCGCCCCAGATTTGAGATGATTGGTGGTTTCAAACTGTTACCCTCTGGTAAACTAACAGTTTGCTATTGAAAATGGCCCATTTATAGTTGATTTACCTATTAGTAATGGTGATTTTCCATAGTTATGTAAACGTTTACCAGAGGAAAAGAAATATTGTTTTGAAAAAAACATACAAAAAGGATACAGTACAGGGACCAAGTTGGGATGATTGGTTGAAATGACGAGCCACCCATGGGATTGGTTCCTGGTGGCCACGGAAATGTCATATGCACTGCTGGGTCGGAATCCGAGTAGGGTAAAGTTCCCTAGCCTTTTTTATCCAATAACAACAATTACTAATGGACCAAGATCGGTGTAAAGCTTACGCGTTACAAGTGTTTTACAAGTCTTTGTTCTTCCATATATCATATATCTATGTAACTCTATGTATCCAATGTCAAATCCTACATTGAACTGGGAAGTTATTGCCATTGCAGGAAACATAGATGATGTTGACAATTGGAAAATCCTCCATTTACAGATGATGTTCCCATGAAACCTCCATCAATAGAGGGAGTCCTACATTGATTCAATTGATTGTCATTGTTTTCTTGCCATTGACTTACCCTCTGGTAATTTAACGTAGCTATGGAAAATCACCCTTTTTGATGGGAAAACACACTATAAATGGCCATTTTCAATAGCTTTTTGTATGTTTACCAGAGGGTACTGGTGATGAATGGGAATTTTTGGGCTGGGCGAATCTGGGAATGGGATGATTGTTGATAGATATTAATGGTTAAATATATTGGAGCATTCACCCATGCCCTACTCACTTAGCACAATAACCATCAATATCCCATTGATACCCATACTTATCCCATACTGGTACTTATTCACCCATATCCCTACTCAATTATTATTATTGACTGTAAGTTGATGGAATAAGTATGGATCTATAATATTCACTGTCATCCCAATCAAGGATGCTATGAACAAATCATCTGTAATGATTCATCTTTAATGATTAACAATCATCCCATCCCTATATACCAAACGTGTGTTTCAATAGTAATCATAAGAATTATCATCACTATGACTAATCCATATGTATACATTAATCCATATACATCATATACAGTTCATAACTCTTAACAATCATAACACTATATCAATCATAAGAATCATCATCACTATGACTAATCCATACAACCCATATAATTACAGTCCATGACTATTAACAATCATCCCATGTGTTACTGGACGTCCCCAATCCCTTTTTGTTCCTTTGCCTCCCTTGCCTTGGACGGAGGAGACGTGACGGAGGAAATCTTCGCGTTCAGAGAGACACCGCGGTCGGAGCCGAGATCGAGGCTGAGCCACATAAGTTATGTAGCCATTCTTAAATGGGAATTGGTGAATTGAATTGGTGTGTAATTGGTGCATTTCTATGAGTTAATTGATGTTAATTGTACATTGAATTAACTTGTTAAGTTATAATTTACTATTATTTGCTTATTCAATATGTGGATGTTTATCAATGTGTATCATGAATTAACCAGGAATGGATGTGATCTATATAATTCTATCATATATATATAATTATATATATAATATATAGATAGATATGTATTATATATATATGGGGATATGAAGGACCAATAGTTGGGGTCGTTTTAGTGTTTCACTGGACCATCCCGGGATGATCATACAGTGTATAGATCTATATATATATATACATATATATATATATACGTATATATATATATATACATATATATATACGTATATATACAATAACCATCTACAAGGTCGCGGTCGAACAGTTCGGAATCCCTAAATTGGTTGAAATGACGCCGATAACTGTTGGGGCGATGGTAGTTGGCAGCGGTTACATACCAGCTTATAACTGGGAGGCACCAACGGGTATAAAACATTGTCATTGTTGTTGCCTTACAGTTGCAATTGGGTATCCCCCATGTTCGCAAATACCCATGCGGCAATGTTGGCTGGGTGATATTGGTTATAGAGATCTCCTTAAAATTGTGGTTGATGTATGTTTATCTTAAGTTGGCGCACTCTGAATTGATTGGTAACTGTCCCATTTTGGGTATATTGGACATCACCTGAAAAAGTAGCCATGGCAGTAGACCATATATTCCCAATATAGCCATTAAATATCACCATTATTGTCCCCATCTAGTAGACCATATACCTTTCATGGTTGGGTGATGTGAAAAATGGGGACATCAGTCATGACCCATGTGAATTGATGGGTTTCGTTCCTGGGGCGAGCCGTGAGCTCGCGCGCGAGACACCAACCAGCAGTTTTCAAAAGATGTTGGGATCTCAGCAACTTGACAAAAAAACACCAACAGTGATTCATTTTTAAAGAACCTACTGTTACATTTATATAATAGAAAAACCTATGTTTATATGGAAAACCAGTGGTTTTTAATATATGTTGAGAACCTACATATATATATATATAACCACTTTTTTCTTAATAGAAAAACACTAGGTTCTCCATGTTGTTTAATCTCAGCATCGTGAAAAACCACTACCTGCCACAATGACAACGACATGTGTTTCATCGCCTGAGCGCCGAGTCTTGCTCCGTCGAAAGCATATCAGCATAAGCTCGCAAACACCAAAAACCATCAGAGCAGATTAGAGTTACTGGTTGATATTTTTTTCACAATATCGTGGTGTACATGTATAACTATTGTATATATATATATATATTGTTTTAATCATAGTGTGTATATATATATATATGTGTGCGTGTGTGTTTATTTATTGATTTACATTTGATTGCAACCATCCTTTCGCATACTTGGGACCCCTGAACCATCAAGAGGATCAAACAGGTGAAGATGCTCCAGTAAATGAAGATAGACCCTGAAAAGAACCAATTTTTTGTGGCAACTATGTTCCAACCCCCGACTGACCGTAGGCTGTATGTAAAAAAATGGTGGATGGTGTGTCGGAATTACTTTTGCGCTAGTTTTGGTATCCCAGATTGTTTGATCTAGCCACGTCGAAGCCGTCGATGTTGGTCACGTTTGATCTATATAATATGTTATGTATAATAATATATATATATATGATATACGTATAATTATATATATATATAATACGTAGAATATATTATATATATATATACGTATGCAACAATCTCTTTTCGATTACCCTTCAGGCCCTCACCCCATCCCAGCAGTTAGCATATTTTCTTACTCAAACAATGTTGTTTTTGTTGGCCCAAGATAAACCAGAACAACAGAGGATTCTTGTTTAAAACACAGGATTCTTTGTCAGGCTATAAAACCCGATGACATAGCCATGTAAAGTCATTTTTGGGGCTTTCCTTTCATGGAGCTACCCATTTTTTGGATGGTTTAGTTAAGGCGAGTTCATGGAAAATCCCAATCGAAAATGGATGGCTTTTAGGGGGTACCATCTGGTTATTTAACATAGCCATGGTATAGATGGCCCATAGAAATAGATGGTTTATCGTTCTTAAAAATGGTGGATCTTTCCATGGCAAACTGTTAGTCATAACCAGAGGGTAGCTACCCATATTTCAGGACACCTCCATAGCTAACCCCCCCGACTCGGATGGCCGTTTCCGTGGCGGTGCCATGACCGTGGTCACAGTTCCGCGATGGCCTCCTGGTGGCAGAAGGAAACTGGGACTGGGAGTGTCAAGGTATGATGTGATATCTCCATTTAATACACTACAACTACAACTACAACTACATATCATTTAATGAAATCTAATCATGGATAAAATAATGAGATAAACTTAAATAAAATCTAATCATGGATAAAATGATGAGATAAACTTAAATAAAATCTAATCGTGGATAAAATAATGAGATAAACTTAAATGAAATCTAATCATGGATAAAATAATGAGATAAACTTAAATAAAATCTAATCATGGATAAAATGATGAGATAAACTTAAATAAAATCTAATCATGGATAAAATGATGAGATAAACTTAAATAAAATCTAATCATGGATAAAATGATGAGATAAACTTAAATAAAATCTAATCGTGGATAAAATAATGAGATAAACTTAAATGAAATCTAATCATGGATAAAATAATGAGATAAACTTAAATAAAATCTAATCATGGATAAAATGATGAGATAAACTTAAATAAAATCTAATCATGGATAAAATGATGAGATAAACTTAAATAAAATCTAATCATGGATAAAATAATGAGATAAACGTAAATAAAATCTAAACGTGGATAAAATAATGAGATAAACTTAAATGAAATCTAAACGTGGATAAAATAATGAGATAAACTTAAATGAAATCTAATCATGGATAAAATAATGAGATAAACTTAAATAAAATCTAATCATGGATAAAATGATGAGATAAACTTAAATAAAATCTAATCATGGATAAAATAATGAGATAAACTTAAATGAAATCTAATCATGGATAAAATAATGAGATAAACTTAAATAAAATCTAATCATGGATAAAATGATGAGATAAACTTAAATAGAAAATAATCATGGATAAAATAATGAGATAAACTTAAATAAAATCTAATCGTGGATAAAATACTGAGATAAACTTAAATGAAATCTAATCATGGATAAAATGATGAGATAAACTTAAATAAAATCTAATCATGGATAAAATGATGAGATAAACTTAAATAAAATCTAATCATGGATAAAATAATGAGATAAACTTAAATAAAATCTAATCGTGGATAAAATAATGAGATAAACTTAAATGAAATCTAATCATGGATAAAATGATGAGATAAACTTAAATGAATCTAATCATGGATAAAATAATGAGATAAACTTAAATAAAATCTAATCATGGATAAAATGATGAGATAAACTTAAATAAATCTAATCATGGATAAAATAATGAGATAAACTTAAATAAAATCTAATCATGGATAAAATGATGAGATAAACTTAAATAAAATCTAACCATGGATAAAATGATGAGATAAACTTAAATAGAATCTAATCATGGATAAAATGATGAGATAAACTTAAATAAAATCTAATCATGGATAAAATAATGAGATAAACTTAAATAAAATCTAATCATGGATAAAATAATGAGATAAACTTAAATGAAATCTAATCATGGATAAAATGATGAGATAAACTTAAATAAATCTAATCATGGATAAAATAATGAGATAAACTTAAATGAAATCTAATCATGGATAAAATGATGAGATAAACTTAAATGAAATCTAATCATGGATAAAATGATGAGATAAACTTAAATGAAATCTAATCATGGATAAAATAATGAGATAAACTTAAATAGAATCTAATCATGGATAAAATGATGAGATAAACTTAAATAAATCTAATCATGGACAAAATAATGAGATAAACTTAAATGAAATCTAATCATGGATAAAATGATGAGATAAACTTAAATAAAATCTAATCATGGATAAAATGATGAGATAAACTTAAATAAAATCTAATCATGGATAAAATAATGAGATAAACTTAAATAAAATCTAATCATGGATAAAATAATGAGATAAACTTAAATGAAATCTAATCATGGATAAAATGATGAGATAAACTTAAATGAAATCTAATCATGGATAAAATGATGAGATAAACTTAAATGAAATCTAATCATGGATAAAATGATGAGATAAACTTAAATAAAATCTAATCATGGATAAAATAATGAGATAAACTTAAATAGAATCTAATCATGGATAAAATGATGAGATAAACTTAAATAAAATCTAACCATGGATAAAATGATGAGATAAACTTAAATAGAATCTAATCATGGATAAAATGATGAGATAAACTTAAATAAAATCTAATCATGGATAAAATGATGAGATAAACTTAAATAAAATCTAATCATGGATAAAATGATGAGATAAACTTAAATAAAATCTAATCATGGATAAAATACTGAGATAAACTGGATGTAATGGGATAAAATGGAATTTGTAATGGGATATAGAGGAAATCTCGCGATCTGGAAGCCATGGCCTGTTGAGTTCCATGATGATGTTCCAAGCAAACTGTGGAAAATTACCAGAGGGTATGGAACTGGGAATATATATATATATACATGATATCTGTGGGGAATCATTCAAAAATTCAGAGGAACTACAGATTCACATCCCACTATACTATTAGCATTTTCCCCGAGATAATGCACATCATCCCAGTTAACTTGGCTGTAGCCTTCATAAACATCCAATTGGGGATGATGTATGAACTTTGGAGCTGGAAAATCATCAAATGGGGAAATTTCAAAAACGCCACGTTCACGTGTGATTACCTGAGGGTATGCAAGAATGGCAAGCAGTTTAGCACTTCTTTTGTGGTTTCAATCTATACCACTTGGGATGTTTTCAAAGCCATACTCTAGGGAATAAATAATGATGAGCTTACCTTACGTCACAGAATTTCATGAAGACACCTTCGGGGACCCGGTCAGATCTTTGGGAGTTGCTACTGCAAGTGGCACAAACTGAATCATGCGGCACTACTGGCATCTACTAATGATTTAATTTTTAGCCATGCCAGTAATAATCAGATTTCGTACTACTTCGACCTCCAAATACCCATGAGTGCTACGAGTCCCAGGCGGTCATGGGTATATTTGATGACACTCATGCAAACTACCACATTTTTTGTAGGTACCTGACCGGGTCTACCTCAAGGCTCATCTGACTTAGTAAATGGTTAATAACCATGATTCACCCATTTATTTATAGGTGGGCTAAGCGGCTAAGCCACTGAATGGAAATCTGATTACCAGGGTTTCATTCCGTTCGGATCCGTGGGGTGACGCTTCCAAGTAATCTCCAGTCTGCTTCGCAAAATCCCCAGTATGATTAGTAAGAATATCATTAAATCCCCATGTTTATGAAGTCCAATTAAATATCATTAAATCACCTCTACATCCCATCATGAAAAATCACCATGAAATCCCCAAGGTCTACTACCTCCTGGTGGTCGCTCCTTCTTCAGCTCCCACCCCCTCTGCGTCCTCCGGCATCTACGAGCGCCGCCGCAGCCGAACGACGACATCCCGGGCGGAAGGGGCTGAAGAGGAGACGATCCTCGACGTCTTTGAGGCCTTGATGACGATGTTGGGGATTTAATGGGAATATCAGGAGATCTTTCGGAAATTCAGCGATTTTATGGATATCTGATTGGGATCAATGGTCATTTCAGGATCCTAAAATGGAGGTACTGTACCATATAAGGCCATATTTTGTGTTGATATTCACTTACATAGGCCTAAAAAATAGGCCTTATGTATGGTAGGTACCTCCATTTTAGGATCCTGAAATTCCCATTGACTGGGATATGTATGTAGATATATATATATATACAATATATGCTTACCAGAGTGATGGGACTTGTGATGTAGACGTTGATTTTTTTGGGCCGGAATGAGGTTTACTGGGAATTTCACCATTTTATGGAGTGGATATATGGTTACCAGGGTTTGTCCAAAAATTGGGTATACCACAAAATACTAATTTTAATGGTGAAAACGATGATAAATAATCGGACTTTGCAATACAGGATGGATGAAAACCTTGGGGGTATACTCCAATTGCAGCGAAATCCCCATCAAAAATGGATCGAAATGGGTAATTTTTTGGGTAATTCAGAACTTAAATTTTGGGATGTAACCATCAAAAGTTTTGGGTAGCATAGGGCGGTTTGCCCTCTGGTAATCAAACATGGCAGGCTTCAAAATCCACCCATTTACGTATGTTTTTTCCCAGCAAACTTAGGCTCCATTTGGAGCAAGGATTTCCGGGCCACGTTTGATGACACCGCCTCCGGTAATATCCCAGATCAATCTCCCGATGGCAATATCCCAATCAAATCCTTATCATGATTAACCATCTATAAACCAATGGTGGATATGTGTTTTTGTTCGGGATATCTGTTGGGTTTTATTATTTATATCATCGAATTAACCATTGGATTAAATCTAATAACCAATACTAAACCCAATGGTTTAATGGGTGTGGATATCATCTATTAACCATTAGATTGCGGCCCATTTCTCACCACGCTGGAATTGTTCCGCCAGGTCAAAGGTTTGAAGATCTTCCGTGCCATCGGTGCAGGTGCGGTGCCGTTAATAACGGGTGCCATTTTAACGGGTGCCCAGAATGCAGAGACGGCCGTACCAAAGATAGAAAACTGCTTGGTGGTTTGGAACATGGCTGGATTATTTATTTTTCCATATATTGGGAATAAACAGATCCCAACTGACGAACTCCATCATTTTTTCAGAGGGGTAGGTATACCACCAACCAGAAAAGGTTTTAGATCCTACTAGAATAGTGATACATCACTTGTCCATCTATCTCCGGTTTACTACAATGGTGGCAAATTGAATATGATTGAATATCTATACCCCAGCATTTGGACCAAAGCAAACCAAGCCTGTTTTTCATAAAAGGACATGATTAGTGAAACTTCCCATTTTTGAGGATGTTTTTATTGCAGCATATTCTGGTATGGTTATATCAATAAATTTTGGATATCAACCGCCTGCAAAGATGTGGGTTCGACGGCCACAAAACGTGACCATTAAGCATATTAAGTCACTGAAACAGGGTTGGTGGCAAAACTGCCAACGCAAATATGGAACGTTAGTAGAAACGTTATCGTCACTAGAATTGGAAGGTTTCCCATTGCCAGATTTTGTTTACCAGGTATAGGCTGCTGAATTGGTCATAGACATCATAGGCGCCCGATACCGGGAAAATGTATATATGCCAAGCACATAGACATGTTCAGATATGAACATCTATAAACATATATACATATAAGTGTAATCATGTTTTAAAGATATGAACAGATATGATCTGATCATATATGACCAGATATGATATGATTATACATGAACAAATATGATTATACATGCACAGATATTATTTTACATGAACAGATATGATCAGATCTCAACAGATATCAACAGATATGATAACTACTTGATACAACATGATCAGATATGATTAAATATACATATATATATATATATATTAAAAATATATGATCATATATTATTAGATCTTCTTAGATGTCAACTGATATGATCAGTTATAATCAGATATGATTATATATGATCAGATCACATGATCATATCTATCAGATAACATCAGATATGATTAGATATTATCAGATATGACTCACTACGAACAGATATGATTGTCTATGAACGGAGATGATCAGATATGGCTAGATATGAACAGATGTGTTTTCATGTTTTTTCATATACGAAACAGATATGTGAACAGATATGACAACCTTTGAATAAAGCTACAGCTCTGCAGTAGCATTGGTTTACCAGGATCCACTGATTCGACTGAGAGCTTGGCGAGAAAATCCACCCAGTTGCTGGTTCATACAACGATGGTGTGGTATGTATATATATATATTTATATATATATATATTATAATACTGAATATCATTTTTTACAATGTATATTATGTATGTATGTATATATATATATAGTTATATATGCATTCTATTGTATGTACTTATACGCTATATACATACCCCCATTTGGACGGTAGTTCCATTTTCAGCATCCCAGATATACAGAATGTAGAAGGGTCCGAGTCACCAAGTAACGGAATATCCAAAACTACTTGAGCAAGAGTTAACTACCCACAAAATTGGTTATGTTCCAAGAACAACGTCTTTGTAATATTGTGCACTATGTGTATAGCTCAAAATGATTAGACCACTGATTCAGTGGACGGTTTCATGTCAAAATATGTCATTTTGAGGGGCCTTTTTTATTGTGGGTCGGTCAAAATCGGCACAGGCGCAGGTTTGGAAGATGCCTTGCCAATACAGAGGACCATGGGGCTCCGCAAGAATCATGCGTTCATGGGGATTCATAGCAGTGGACTTTCACCATTAAATCATCCCATCCCCCGTTCATATTAAATACCACTCCATCTGGTTTCCGCTGTGGTGTTTAATATAAGCGGGGAATGCGATTAGGAAGGGTTATTAAGGATTTATTAACAATCAACAATCAAAGGTAAGCTCCCAACAATATGTTTTGTTTGGGGGTTTGGGGGGTGGTCTTCAAACTTCAGCACCAAGAACCACACTTGTTCAGCAGGTTAAGAATGGGATTCTTCGCCATCAACATCGATCATTTTCCTAGGGATTCCCCATGGCTTTTCCATATCTGGCTGTTAGTCCCAAGGAAGGCCTCAGCGAATTCTAACAGTTTGCCTATGGAAAATGACCCATAAAAGGTTTGATGGTGAAAAGCTGTCAAAATGGTTTTCTATTCCATAGTTATGTTAAGTTTTCAGATGGTAGATTATTTGCATGATTTTCTTCTTTCTACTTGAAGAATACAGTTACCCATCCAATCAGTACGTCATCTACAGATCCTGGTTTGTGCAATTTTGGTGGTTTATATATATATATATACATGTTGGCGAAGCATATCCTTCAATAAGATGCTTCTGAATCCCCATGATTCGTTCGTTCTCCAGGATTTCGCTGTGATATGATATGGTATGCCATTATTTTCGACAAAGAAATGCCCCATCCCCATATCATAAGAGCAATTCGTTGGGTCCCGTTACGTCCGTTGCCAAACCTATGGCTGCGTTTCTGCACAGCGACAGGACCAGTGCCCTTCTTCTTGTGTTTCAGCTCTAAGTACTGCATGGGTTCAGTTTGGAGTTCCATGATGTGGGGAATCTCCGTGGGAAAAAGAGGGTCGAAATTGTTGTGACGGAGCTATTCGACTGGTCATATACCAAAAAAATGCAACCAACCAATTTGAGGTCAACCATTTTGAACCATACCCAGGTGACGAAAAAAAAGGGTGTACGTCACGTTCCCGAAAAGTTTGGAATTTGACAGCAACATAGAAATGAAGGTACTCGTACTACAAACACACCATGAACCAAATTTGCTGGGCCATCGCTCTTCGTTTACTAGTGGCTACTAAAAAACAGCAGTTTCGTTGTGGACCGCAGCTACTTGAGATTTTTTTTGTCAGAACTGGGAGTTTGCAGCATTGTACCATAGCAAGTTGCCTTTCGTTTATACATCAATTGGGGTGGGTCAAGGTTTTTAGATCACTCATGTTGGACGTTGAACATGGTGAATCATTGCGCTCGGTGTTGCGTTGGGGTCAAGTTCTGTCCCAGATGTTGATGTTTGGCCATTTCGGAACTCCATTTCGTTCCAAGATGTTCCAAGTTTTTCGTCGTGTTTGCAGATGGTTAGTTTATTTGGATATGAGTAACAAACTAAATCGCAACCCAGAATTGGATACCCTCTGGTAAACTAACATAGCTATGGAAAATCACCATTTTCAATGGGAAAATCCACTATAAATGGTGATTTTCAATAGCTATGTTAAATTACCAGAGGGTAATGTGTAATTTCTGGACATCACAACTATACTTTGGATACCCAAATTTGACCCGACCACCACTTTTATATGCAGCCAGTCATCACTGGCTATCAACTCGATAAAGCCAATAGTGAACCCCCATTGGAGGCTAATTAGCTAAGTTGGTTGAAAACCCCAAGAACTAAGGGTTTATGGTGCGTATGTATGTGCATATATATATATATATCATATTATTATCATCATATAATCATATATCATACAATATATACAATATGTGTATATATATATATATATATAATTATATATATATGTATGTATACATATGCATATATATATATACACATATGACATAGAACCAGTTTTCAGGTTATACACCAACTTCCATAAATGGGATTTCCCACAGTTTCTGGCCACGCGGAACATTCAGGTGGCCATTCCCTCTGAGTTGTCCTTGGACGATCTCTGCCATTTCCTGGGCCATCGCGAAGGCCTGGAAGCCGTCCGTGTGGTCTTTCGCACCTGGGCACAGCGGGTGATGTGGTGATTGTCTGGTGATTAAAAGGTGGTGCCAACTTTTTAAAAAAATGTGCAGATGTAAGTGATGTAACCATGTAAAAATAGGGTGAGCATGTGCTTTTCGTATGTGTTCAATCATCCTTGAAATAGACCCTGAAATTGTATGAAATTGTAATGCGTAAGTTTGGGTCACTAATTATGGCAGTGTGGGATGAACACTGAACATGAAAACAGGCATGTCCACAGTTGACAACCCATCTCCCAATTCAATATCACGCAACCAATGGTGGATTATATCAACAAAATATAGAAACAATGGAAAAAGCCATAGAAACATGTAGAAACTAATATCTGAAAAGTGATGTTTCTGCCTGCGAGATGTTTATTTGCTAAATGGAAGCTGTTGACGTCAGCGTGCAGCGATACAGATAGCCGGGATGAACTGGGGGGGTCCATAGTGGGGGTACTCCAACATGGATGGTTGAAATCTCTGGAAAATCCTAATCTACCCGGCCTGGTAAACATACAAAAAACTATGGAAAGATCCACCATGCTATCAATAGCGAACTGTTAGTCATAACCAGAGGGTTTTCTATGGATGATAACTGGGGGTAGCCCCATTTTAAGAAACCTCCATATATATATATATATATGGTTTTTCTCGTTTCAACATGTTTCAACCATCAGATTGTGGGGTAACCCTCTGTTCAAATCTCACTTTGGCGCCTGAGGAAATGAACCGCGGGGACGATTCTTCTGTCCTTCCTTGGAAGGGAAGAGTGGCCTGGCTGAACACATCCACGGCCATAGAAAAAAAGGCGCAGAAATGGAGGTTTCCTAAAATGAGGTACCCCCAAAATCATCCAAATTAGGTGTTTACATATGTATATATATATATAATTAATACATACATACCATTACATACCATTATATACATACCATTACATACCATTACATTACATTAGATTATATTATATTATATTATATCATATTATATTATATTATATCATATTATCATATTATATTATACAATATTATACATATATATATATACATACATATATATATATATATGTGTGTGTATACACATATTATACATATATACCATTTTAGTAAGAACCGGCTCCCGAGGAGATCTTCAGGTTCTAATCTATGGAAAAATCAGAGACAAAATCTATCAAAATCGTACAAGACTCCTATGAACTGTGAGGTTGTAATCAATGAAAACAATGAAGTCAGTTTAGCAGGATGATAATTATTACCCATCCCTATCCTATATATATATATATATAGCAGGATAGCCAAAACAAATAGGTTTAATCCTATCCCTCTAAACTAATATGAACGATTATGCTTTAGCAAGGGATTCACGCCGTGTCCAAGACCTCTGTTGGTTGATGATTTCCGGGATTATGCTACCCAAGATTAAGATTTTTTTGGGGGATTATCATAATACATGAACTGTGAATGCATATAATGGAATGACATTATAATGGGATTATGATTATTGTCTTGGTAATCATAATACCTTAATTGGGGATTCACAAACCAATATCATGGAATGACATTTCGGGTTTTGAACGGGTGTTGAACCTCAGGGGGATTGGACGACAAATTACATAAGTTATGATAAGTTAATATAGAGTAAGTCATATTATATAAATGTATATATATATATATACATACATCATACATAGATTCCACAAACATCACCAAAAAAAACTCTGAGCACTATCCATACTTCAAGCGATGCAATTCCATGGAATTGTCTGGTTCCAAGGCGGTCCCGGCTCTGGGGGCGGATTCTACACCGCCATCCTGCTGTGTCGATCGCAGGCGGTGGTGTTTCGAAAAATTTCGGGCGCCCGGTGAATGCCGGGTGAAATTGGAGAAATGCTTGGTCTATGCTGGGTGAATGGGAGTTCAATGGAATTCATTTCGCCAGAGATAGTCTTTTGTGAATTAAAAATAGTGTTCCAGCAACACATGATAATGATATTTTGTGAAGGAAAAATCGTGTTCCACTGATAAAAGTTGTTTTTTTTTTGTCGGTCTAAAGTTGTCCCATGCTGTTGAGGACGTCCCTGACGTCCCTGCCAGGCGCATGCAGATGCCTTGTACAAAGCCAATCATGGGAAGTTGTTCTCCCACGACAGCAGATTCTCGTCGCTGGGGGGCTGCGGGTGGGGGTTCGAGTTTTCCAAGATTTTCCAAGTCGTGGTCACCACAAAATTTTAAAAAATGACATGGTATAGGTGAGGGTCTCTACGGTCACTATCCCAAATGATGCCGGGACTTTACAAGTTGGTGACTTATTGCCTGCAACCCCTGCAGGTTGATGGCTAGATTATGGTGGATATTCACTCTAATTCCCTCCCAGAAATGAGGGGGACATTTACAGGAAACCATCATTTTCATGGTTAGAAAAAATCAAAATACCACGTTTTCCAGGTTTTTCCCCTATTTTTTCCGAGGAAAAGCACCGTCCATTGATTTCCTCCACATTTCACAACCGAGGTCAGGACGATAAAGGACATCCTGGGGGCGAGCCGTGAGGTTTTTTTCACGGAAAAATTGTTTCAGTTCACCCATGCCCTTCACGCCTTTCTTGAATATGTAGATGATACTATTATTATTACTATTATTATTATTAATTATTATTAGTATTATTATTATCATTATTATTATTAATTATTATTATTACCATCTTATTATTATTATTATTTATTATGAGTATTACTATTTTATTATTATTATTAATTATTATTATTTGTTATTATTATTAATTATTATTATTATTTTATTATTGTTATGTTTTATTATTATTATTATTATTATTAATTTTATTATTATTATTGTTATTATTATTATTATTATTATATATACATATATACTGTATATACTATATATATATACACTATATATATACTATATATAGTATATACTATATATATATATATACTATATATATATACACTATATATATATACTATTTATATAGTATATAGCGCCGGACAACTACTTAGAACGTTGGTTTTGGAATTCCAAAACACGTTCTAAGTAGTGATCCTGGATCACTACTTAGAACGTATACGTTCTAAGTAGAGGTTTTGGGGGTTCCCCCGTGTTCTAAGTAAGAATCCCACCAGCTATCTACGTGCATTTTGGAAAATCCTGTGTATACGTTCTAAGTAGAGGTCTTGGGGGTTCCCCCGTGTTCTAAGTAAGAATCCCATCAGCTATCTACGTGCATTTTGGAAAATCCTGTGTATACGTTCTAAGTAGAGGTTTTGGGGGTTCCCCCGTGTTCTAAGTAAGAATCCCACCAGCTATCTACGTGCATTTTGGAAAATCCTGTGTATACGTTCTAAGTAGAGGTTTTGGGGGTTCCCCCGTGTTCTAAGTAAGAATCCCACCAGCTATCTACGTGCATTTTGGAAAATCCTGTGTATACGTTCTAAGTAGAGGTTTTGGGGGTTCTCCCGTGTTCTAAGTAAGAATCCCACCAGCTATCTACGTGCATTATGGAAAATCCTGTGTATACGTTCTAAGTAGAGGTTTTGGGGGTTCCCCCGTGTTCTAAGTAAGAATCCCACCAGCTATCTACGTGCATTTTGGAAAATCCTGTGCATACGTTCTAAGTAGAGGTTTTGGGGGTTCCCCCGTGTTCTAAGTAAGAATCCCACCAGCTATCTACGTGTGAAAATGGGCTTTGGACCATTCCAACCGCTCAATCGGTCATATAATTTCAATATACCTCAATATAGACATCTCCATGTATCTTAACGCAACATCACACCTCCTGTATATATAATATAAATATGCAGTGCTAAGTAGAGGATCCTCATATGTTCTAAGTCACTTAGAACGTACGTCCCCTATTCGCCGAATTTGTTCTAAGTAGAGGGTTCGTACCCACCGAAAAAATTCCAAAACGACGTTCTAAGTAGTTGTCCGGCGCTATATATATACTATATATATATATTATGTTTATATGTTATTAAATAATATATAGATATATATTAAAGAAATATATATATATACATATTTATACGTGTGTGTTTCCATGTTCCTCTCTGATTTTCTCCGCAATGCATACTTCACCCCCACCAGACCGCTAGGGCTATTGCCATCCACACAAGGTGGTGCCTCAGTTCGGAATCGATAAGTCGGTGAACATAACTCTAATTTCACTAGGGTTTATGCTAGATATATCATTATGTATCTATATTTCTTCCTAGTATTCTGGAGATTATAGATAGTTGCAGATATATAATATAGATATATATGATGGATAATCATCATATATATTTCTAGATAACTATAGATCTTCTATTCTTCTATATATATCTAAGTAACATTTATCACAGATATCAACCCTGATTTTACCGGCCACAGGACCCTGCTGTTACTTAGCCTTTCTGGAGGCCATCGTCTATTCCTCGAAATCCTGGGAGCTCACCCGGACCAAATCCGACGAATTGCACCCTGGTTTCGTCGAAGGGTTGGTGATAAATGGTGTATGTTGATGCTTAATAAATGGTTAATAGATGGTTAACAGATGCTTAATAGTGATTGATAGTTGCTTGATACCTGGTTAAAAATGTGATTGTTTTGCAGAATGAGAGGGATTTAATTCGGATGTAAATGGGATACAATTGGGATATGTAGACATTTAATATGGTAGAATCATGCTGTTGGCTCGATGGGTTTTGGACAACGGCCTATGACCTATGAAGGTGTTACCATCCCATTTATGTTATTATCCCATTAATTATGGCTTATGACGGTTTATTGACACTATGAATGGGGTACGTTTATCGCTTATCTTGGAGGATTCATGACAAAATGGGTGCAGCATCTTGCAATAGACGTCCCAGGCAAGTGGTTTCGAACCAACCTATAACCCTTCATGTAACTAGGGATGTTCCATGTTCCATGTATACATAATATATATATATATTAAAAGCATTTAAAAGCAGGATACACCAGGGTCATTTCATCTGGTGATGTTTGTTTACCCACAAAAACAGTGCCGGCCGACTGCAAATCCTTCGGAAAAAAAAAAAAAAAAAACAACTCCAAGCTGTTTGGCAGTCGGCGCTTAGGCAAAAGTCGAGCCCCTCTGATTCAGAGATGCCAGAGGCTGATTTGTTGCGGGGGTGCTGATTGAAAATCTCATCATCCATCGGGAATTTTATTCTTAACACACGAGTGTTCAATGGAAACCGAGGGTTTTGGACACTCACATAGATTTCCCATGCTTCCATTAGATTTCCAGAGTTTCAGTTCAATTAGAGTTGTGATATTCCATATGCTATCATATTCCATCATATTCAGATTCCCATATTCCATCATATTCCATCATATTCCCAGAGTTTCTGATGGCCATTCGCAACACTTGTGGTACCAGTTGTCCCCTTCGAACCGCCATTCGAACCGAGAGAGGCAGTGATTCCAAGCACGGCCTACGAAGTGCCATCGTGCCCAGTCGCTCGGCGCGGCGTTCGTGGATCTTCTATATTTGTTTACAGATCTACCCTCTGGTAATTTGTTACATAGCTATTGAAAATTGCCATTTATAGTGGATTTACCCATTGAAAATGGTGATTTTCCATAGTTATGTTAGTTTACCAGAGGGTAAGCAATGTTTGAAATTGATACCATATGCCTATATATATATATGTGTGTGTAGTTGATACTACGATGTCTATGTAGTTTCAGATCATGATTTAAGATACATGAACCATATATAGGATTGATATACGCTATCATGATTGCTTCAGATCCCAAAAAAACACCGATATACTCAGATCATGAATGATCATGATATATTTGCTTAGTATTGGCATTATGACGGTTCATTTGTTGACACTGTTTCTTGCTGAAATCGTCTGCTTTATGGGTGAAATTCATATATATATATAATTAATATATGTATATATATTATACATATGATTGCTTGTTGAAAGGCATTTTGTGTGGGTGGAGCCATCCAAATGATTGGTTAGATCAAGTTAGATCCAATGTTTTGTTGGTTATATAAGTTTCATGCGTTGAAATTTTCATGGCTGTCCTAAAAGGTCGCTTGTTAACCCTCCTTTTTTATTGGGTGAAGCCTCAATTTCTGCGAAATGTTCACCACAAAAATGGTGGGTTTTACCAGCAAAAATGATCTTCAAGGTTGAGTAGCCGTAGGGATTGAAGATGATTTGAAAATGTCATTAACAATCACCATCCCTATTGCTAAGGCATGACAAAATCTTTCTGAAATCTAAAGGTTGTTCATTGAATCATAAACGGTTTTTCTGACATTGTTCGAACATCCATTGGTGAATCTTAAATCATAATCATAATCGGTATAGATTGGTGAATTACAATTTCTGGGATTTCACCAATCATAAATCAATGATTATGATTATATAATTATAACATATTATACCTATAGTTAAACACTAAACATATAATTAGTTAACTAAGTTAACTATCATTATAAACTAAGTTAACTATCATTATTATAATGATCTTAAATCATTAAATCCATGTTCGAAAGTCCTCACGGCGCCGTCGCAGGTGTGTATCGAGCGCATCGATGTCTCCGGCACAGGCTTGGTCACGCACAGCCACGGCTGGAGCGCCGAACACCAGGACTGGGGGACTGGGACACCCAAAGTGGTGACTTGGGGATGGCTTTATGATGGTTTTTTTGGGGGTTTATTATGGTTTATTATGGATAATGATGGTTTATTAATGTTTATTAAGGTCTATGACAGTGGGGGGTTACCACATGAAGAAGTTTATTCTTTTTATAAAATGGATTGGTTTTTATTGTGGTTTATTGATGTTTATGACATGGGATGACATAAGGGAAAAACCACATGAAGAAGTTTAACATAGTTTGGGGTTTATTGATGTTTATGACATTGGAAAAAAAAAAAAAAACACATGAAGAAATGTTTAGCTCTACGTATGATTAATGTCTAATAGTAGTTTTTGAAATATTTTATGAGCTATTCAAATGCTGAGTTCCCCCAATATTTTCTAGTCACACCGTTCAGAAGTGAAAATGATAGTCAAGATCCCTAATTTTGTTAGATACCATCCCTATTTGGTTGTTTCAATCACCCATTTTTTGTTAATTCTCCATGTTTATTGGTAAAATCCTCCATTTTGGCCTTAAACGTCCCAGGACGCAGGGCGACCCCCCACCTGTGTGGCGTGTGCCATCATCACCGCCACCAATGGGGGAGCCGCGCAGCGGAAGAACGTGGCGGGAAATCCTGTGACTTTGCAGTGCGAGTGCGGCTCGGAACGATGGGATATCTTGGGATTGGATGTGGATGTGGATGTGGATGAGGATGAGGATGATGATGATGATGATGATGATGAATTGGGAAAGCTTCAGATGATTTAAGATGAGGCTAGGGTGTTTTTTGAGATGTGTGGTATTCAGATATGGCACTATAATCTTCAGGTACCAAGATCTCAAAGCCAATGATCATCAAAACAAATGGGACATTTAAGGTGGATGGTCAGGTATTGGGAAATTGAAGAAATGTCCCAGTTGTTTTGAGGATAGGTAAGTCTTTGACAGGTGGATTGTTAGATTACTTACTTGGGAACGTTGCAGCAAGAGGTCGGGTCATGGCAGTACTAACACAACTCCCCTGAAATGTGATGGTTACAGAGGGCGAACATGGTGGGTTCTTAGAACGCGAGACCCCGAGACCCATGGCGTTCCTACTTCAAATCACCATGTTTGGATGTGAGTTCTTTCAAGCTGTAATTGGTCCTCCTCAATGGAGAAACGAAGGGTTTTGGAGTTCCCCTATTTTAGGACACATCCAGATGTAAATTCAGAGAACTTGCAGGTTGCTCAAAGCAAGATGAATTGTGGGTTTGTTTCTTGGCACCGAGAAAGGATGTGAGTTGCTGCTGGCTGGGAGTGCTGAACATATTGCCATTTGGATCGATTTGGGGACCAAGAAACCTCCATTTGCTTCCCTCAGAAAGCATGGGCAAACCATTAAAATCCTTGGTGCTAAACATATACTGTATAATTTTATATGTATATATATATATATGTACATATTATATATATAATATACATATATATATATTATACATATATATATATACATATATATATATATATAGTTGTTTAGCTATTGCTTTTACTTGGTTCTTAGCTCGGTGTTTGGGACCATTTGGGACCCCTTTTTTGGGACTTTGCCATGCCACAAGACAGCGAAGCTCCCAGAAGCTCCCAGTCCCGTTGTGATTCTCCCGTTGGAGTAGCGTTGTATAGAGAAAAAAAGGGAAGGGCCTAAGGGTCACAGTCAAAACTGTAGACAACCATATTTGAGTGATGAACATTTAGAGTTCATGACTTTCATGACAGTTGAAAAAGATGTTTACAGTATTCAACATCATTCAACCAGCTATTTGAATGCAAAACCCAGGGTACCAGTGTTTTTGGCTGCATAGACACACAGTCCAACAGTTCTATTTGCATCATGTTCTGGCTACAGTGGTGGATGGATATGGTTTAGAGCCCCTAGCATTTGGGGATCAAAATTGGGTATCCCAAAAGATAGATGGTTAATACTAAACATAGACATTCCAATCTGTGGTCCCTTGAGTCTTAAATTTTGAACCCTTGCTGAACCATTAAACCTTTGTTCCCTGAAATAGTTGCTGGGATGATTGTTATGTTAATATAGTTTTGGATTGATCATTCCCATCCATTCCCCACTTACTTAGCACCAGTCTTCCACATTGCTGAGGTTTGATCTGCGGACATTTGGGCTGCGGCAGATATCAAGATGCCCATGCCAAGGACCACGCCACGGAGTATCGGCACCGCTTCTGCCTTTCGGCATCGTTCGTAGTGATAGGAGAGTCGTCATGGAAAGGCGGATGTTTTGTACAATGGGATAATGGTATATACGAAAAAAACATAGTAATACTATGTAATACTTGTACACTGGATAATGATGGGCTCCACCAAATCATGATGGTCCATAATGAATTATGCCAGTAACATCATGTCGTAAAACACTGTAAAAATGCCAATCTATTTATGGCCCCCACCCCAAACTCCCATCAAAAATCGTTCAGCAACTGCCCCTAAGCCACTAAAAACATTCAAAAGCATTTAAAATCATCAAAAACACCAAATTACCCCAACAACAAAAAAATCATTGAAACGTGTTTTCCACATCACTTGTATACCTTGCAGGCAAGCATATCGAAGTCGATGAACATGACGAACTCTAAGAGACATGCATTGGATGGCAGAACATGCCACAGGATGTCACACCCAGTATTTTCCCATTGAAAAAACATGGTTTAGATCCATAGGATCATAACAATTTCCCCAACCATCAACCAAAGTGCACCCGAAATCCTAAGCATCAACCATCATCAACCCAAAGTGCAACCACCGGGCCTCCGAAAAGTGGCAGCCGGGTAGGTTACCAACTGGACACGGGTCGCATCTGGGACTACGCCAGCGACGTCTTCGTGCACCGACGCCTGGTGCAGCACGCGGCCATGGGACACTTCGAACTGGCGCTGCCGGCGCCCGCCATGGAAGAGTCCAGGGGTTCCAAGGTTTGGATGGATGGGGGATGGAGGGATGGGGAATCCATGGGAATCCTATAAATTTCTGGCGTTTTTGGTGGATTTTGCCATATGTTATCTGATGATTTTCCATGAAAGCTAAGGATTTCGCGTGAAAAAATGGGGGAAGTTGAAGCGGCAAACAAGTTAGCAAGCAAAAGGATTGGGAGTTGATATGATCAACAAGAATGGAGATTCAACTAGCAAAAGTGGAGGATCTGAAAAACTTGGGGAAGAGTGATCCTGTGAAATGATCCAACATGTGGATTTTTACCAGTAAACGTACGAGGAAGCAACAAACATTGGTTGAACTGGTGGAATCATTCAGATAAGTGGTAGACTTACCCAACAAAATATAGATGTTGCCATACAAAAATGGAATTGGTGCCAAGAAATGTCGGGATATTTAGCCAAGAAGACAAGGACTGAAGCAATCATGAAGAAATTAGCCTGGCAAGATAACGATTATAAAGCAACAGAAATGTTGACCACCTAAAGATTTGACATAACAATATAAACCTAGAATGAAGACGCCTATTCATACCAACACAGTGATCCCTTTGCAAACCAGCTCCAACGCCCAAGATATCGAAGCGGTGAGATATTCCACCCCCTGTGTGTTGATGACTAGTTCGGGGTTTGTTAACCTACCCCCTGTATATTGGGTATTACCATCAATCCATGAACTGGGAGATCCGTTCTTAACCAGCCAGTATACAGTGAGCCCAAAGGATTTTGAACACTGCATGTTTTTGTGTGTTTTTTCCTATTTGGTTTGTTATGGAAGATTGCCTATCAGTTTGATGTTGTACCTATTCTAATTGTGATTTCCCAGAGCAAAGTGCAACAAATTACCAGCGAGTATCCAGATTTATATGAATATTATATATACCCATAACCATGAGTATCATATATTTATATTATTTATTTGTATATTATATCCAGATTTATATGAATATCGGATATCTTTGATGTTCCCATGATATACCCATAACATAGCCACGATATCCCCTTTCGAAATCCCATGAAATCCACAGCCAGTAACTCCGCCATCCCAGCCATCAACCAAACGCAAGTAGCTTGTAACTCAATACACAAGTAACTCTAACCACAGAACATAAGCAGAACAACATGATGCTTTAAAAAAAATAACCGATCCCCTAGACCACCATTTTTATGGGTGGTATAAACATGTATAAACCATATGTTTTTGATAAAAAAAAAATGGTGGTTTATGACATTGTTTTACCAACATTAATCCCATTATTAACCACTATTAACCATTTTTTAACCACTATTAACCATTGTTAACCATTAGTAACCATGATTCTTCGTTATCCCAATAACTCTGGGCTGCTAAATTGGAGCTGCAGGTCCCTGTCCCTGGACTCCCGGGACACGAGCAGCTCCTTTCGATGGAGCTCGATGCCATCTTGGCCTCGCAGCGATTTGGCGGAAATTTTCTGTGTCGAAGTGTGCAGTAAGTCATTTTTATGGGGATTTAAGGATATGTGACATGCATACATATATATATATATATATGTATGTATATGTATAAGTGTATATGTATAGGATGTATAGGTATATGTATAGGTATAGGTATATGTATATGTATATGTATATATATATGTGTATGTATATGTATATGTATATGTGTATGTATATGTATTTGTATATGTATTTGTATAGGTATATGTATCTGTATCTGTATACGTATATGTGAATGTATATGCATATGTATATGTATATGTTTATGTATATGTATATGTACATATATATATGTATATGTATATGTTTATGTATATGTATCTGTATATGTATTTGTATAGGTATATGTATCTGTATCTGTATACGTATATGTGAATGTATATGCATATGTATATGTATATGTTTATGTATATGTATATGTACATATATATATATGTATATGTATATGTATCTGTATATGTATATGTGTATGTATATGTATAGGTATAGGTATATGTATTTGTATATGTATATGTGAATGTATATATATATATGTATATGTATATTGTATATGTATGTACATATATACATATAGTTATTATATGTTGTTATTGTTTTCATGATTAGTATCATTATCATTTTTTTTCAATGTGATATGTGGGTGTCAGCCAAAAGTAGGAAATCCGCGAAGGTACAGCAATGTTTTGATGGGGCATCGCCAAACAAACCCAGCTGATGAGCCCAGTTTTGGCTGGCGGAACCCGAAAAAATGGCTGACATCGCCAACCAAATCATCTACCCATTCGTCGACTTCTTTACATAATCGCCAATTCTTCAAGCCGAGATCCTCATGTTTGCCATGGTTTTTCCTTGTAAAAATTCGTTCCGAGATCCCATGTGGCTCCGGATCAAGCCACCCTAGCTAGCACCCACAAGTGGTCATATCAAGTCATAACTTGTAGTTGTGGGTTTCATCTCAGCATTTCATAGCAAATATAGAGGTTGGACCCATCCCCATTCAAATAACCCCCCCGAAAAAAGCCCTAGTTGGGCATTGGATTTGTTCTAGGCATGGGCTGGACAGCCCTTCCTTTCATGGGCTGGATAGCCCCCCATGGGCTGGATTGGCTGGCTATAAATGGCTATAATATCTATAATACATATTTATATCCCAGTTTCAGAATGGTTAAATTATAGTGGACCCCCATCTAGTATAGTTAATCATCCATTTTTCATGCAGAAACATACCACCCCTCCAGGCTGGATCACCAACGCTCCCTCTACGAACGTCAACTCGCGGAGCCTTGTCCATGTTGGTTTTTTATCGTCATGGAAAACAAATGTCTACCCTCTGGTTATGTCAAAATAGCTATTGAAAATGGCTCATTAACAGTTGATTTATCTATTCCAAATGGTGATTTTCCAGTTTGCTATGTTAGTTTACCAGAGGGTATACCACGGTTATTGCAAGATCCGCATTTTGGGCTTGATCCCCTGACGGCAAAATGGTTTCAGATCCAGGGGTGCGGAAGGGAATAAAATTTCGAGGTGTTAATCACTGGCAAGTGCTGTGTATATTACATATATATATGCACCAAACCACCCCTTGCATTATTGTTGAAACATATGATTATTGGAGGGGATGCTTCGATGTTCGTATAGAAGATGGTGATTTAAATTAAATATATAATGTGATTATAATGGTGATTTAATGGTGATTTATATATAATGGTGATTTAATGTGATTATAATGGGATATATACCCAAGCCTAACTATTTGGGAGTCTCTGAAAATGGGATTTATTGGTTCTTTAGTGAAATTTAATGAGATTTGATTTAATGATATGTAATGGGATTTAGTGGAAATATCACTGGAATATTAATGAGATGATCAACAATGGAGGTTTCCATAAATGGAGGTACCCCAATAGCTGGAAGATTTATTTCATGGAAAATCCTCCCCCAAAAAAATGACTTAAGAAACCTCCATCCATATATATATATATATTGTGGTTAAACGGAATGTCATAAACAGCTCCCATGACCGGGGATGGTTAGAATCCAACAACCATAGAATTGGGGGTGTACCGAATCTCTGGGGTCTCAAAGGTTCAGGATGGCAATCCCTGTGCTAATCTATTGTAATATCGCCATGGAAGTCTACAAACTGGCCTTTTCCCATAGCTATGAGCGGATTGCCAGAGGGATCCATCTTTCTGTTAAGTCCGACTGAATTTGTTCATGTACAGGATCTACTATTTATATTCAACGAAGAAACCCATGGCTATGTCATCAGAAATTCCCGAATGTCAGCAGAACCTCAGTGGATTTGCGATGAATGGGAGCAAATGAGCCATAGGCAAGCTGCGATTTCGCTGCGCTTGCGCTTCAAGCCCTTTTTTTGTGACATGTGCAGTGAAAGTACCTATTGTAGATTTTAGAGTGTATCATTGTATCTGTGTGTGTGTTTAGTGCATCGCCTTCAGGACTTGCAGCGGCAACAGAGTAGCTCAGTGAACGACTTGCAAAGTGCCACTGGGGCAGTGCGAAGGCCCGAAGGCCGTGGGATGACCGTAATATTATGTGATGTACAGTAGTATAGTTGCACTATGTTGCACATTTTGGTCAATATATGTTAATCTGATTGGTGGTTTCAAACATGACTTTTATTTTCCATTTCATATATGGGATAATCCTTCCCATTGACTAATATTTTTCAGAGGGGTTGAAACCACCAACCAGTAATATTATTGAGATTTATTTTGTGACCGAAAAGACACAAGTTCTTCAAACTCTGATTGCAGACTGTTTCCCATCGGTCACTGAGATGATCCCCGGAGACCAACCAAAACATCTAAGGCGATTGAAGCCGAAGGACGACGTGAAGCGGCCATGAGCTTTGACGGGAAAAAGTGGCTGTTGTCCTGCGAGCTGGGCCACCCCAAAAGGCCCCAAAGAACCAGGAGCTGGGCTATGGAAAATGGCCATATGGATGATTTACCGATATTTACCTATTGAAAATAGTGATTGTCCACTTCGCTATGTTAAATAAGCAGAGGGTAGAAGGTTAAAACATGTTAAAACCACATTCCCCCCAACTAAGGGGCCGTGAAGGTAGATCAAAGCACCTTGCTCCATGGGTGATTTTTTTTTATAATTTGTTCAACATCTCTTGCCATAGATGGATATATGTGGGAGAATTGACATAATCAGCTTTGAAACAGTTGGGGGATGCAAGAATGACCAAGTTTTTTTGTGGATCTGATTTGACGTGCCAACAGCTTGGCCATTTTGGAAAGAGAGCCAGGGGAGCTCACAATGAGGCAAAGGAAGTGATCTTTTCCAATTATTCGAACTCATCAACCATAGTGGTGGCACAACGGGGATATAATTGGACATATATATATATATTATATATATATATTAAATATATAATATGTATATATATATATATAACATATATAAGCACATATATAAGGGAATAGATGGAAATAACTACCTCAATCAAACATGGTTCTTTGGGAAGCCAGGGAAGCACACGTTTTGCCGTTTTTTTCCGGTAGCTGTGGGCTGGGTCCTGGTTTTTTTCGCAGTGACCAAGGACGGAAGAAATGCAAAGCCATGAGAAGCAGATGAAAATGCTGGACATCGGGGCGCGGATTGAAGCACTGGCGTCCTGTTGTGGTACCCTCTGGTAAACATACAAAAAACTATGGAAAATCACCATTTTTTATGGGAAAATCCACTATTTCTATGGCCATTTTCAATAGCTATGTAACAAATTACCAGAGGGTATGCCTTCAAACCAGGGAAGCCAACAGCTGCTTTCATCCACCATCCCCATTTTCCATCAGGAGAAACAGTTGGCTTCGGCGCAGAAGTCTTGGAGCACGGAACAGGAAAAACTGAAATTCGCCAAAGAGCTCAATGCCTCGCTCTTGCAAAATCGCCCCCTGACCGAGTTCTTTTCACCGGGGTTTAAGGGGACGGCGGGACGGCTTGGAGGGGTGAACAAAGAAAAACAACAAGCAAACCAAACGCGACCATTTTTTCATAAAGATATCGTAAAGTATCCAAAATGACGGGAAAAACCAGAAGACAGATATTATACAAATGTAGCAAGCAAATGAAGAAGGGAACCAGACAAAAGGATACCCAAAAAAAACCAATCGATCATACAAAGCCAACAACGTACGCATGTTGGACCCTGATTGTCGCCGTACGTCAATATGATTTCTATATGTACCCATAGACCTTGAAGATATTCAGCCAGCTAAGTGTGTTTGTTTTATCATGTTTTACCATATTTTACCTTCAATGTCCGTCATGTTTACCAACTGTTCTGGATAAGTTGAGAAAGGAAGGTGTGAGATCCAATCACAAAGAATAGACTCAATAGACCCGCGGTCATGCACGTTTGAGCAATCTATATCCATACTGCATCATGGATTTTTACCCTCTGGTAAACTAACATAACTATGGAAAATCACCATTTTTAATTGGTAAATCCACTATAAATGGCCATGTTCAATAGCTATGTTAAATTACCAGAGGGTAATTTCAGTTGCATGGGTCTGGGTTTACCCTCCGGTCATCAAACATTTTGGTCGATGATGTTCCCATGAGAAAGCCATATTTATTTAGATTGAATTTCCCAGCCATGCTTGATTGGTGGGATCTGGAGGGGTTCATATCCCGAATTCAAAAAATCGTGCCTTTTTTTGTATCATATAATTATCCCCGCCTTATCCCCCTACGTATCTATGAACCATCTATGAAAACCATCCGTATTCCACTATATCCCAATGATCCTTCTATAATTCTCCACAATTCCCAAGAAAATGTCCTTAAAATCCTCTCATCGGACATTCCCTTTTTGCTTGGATCAAGGCAAAGACATGGCGGATGGAGAAGGCAAAGAGTCCAAGACAGAGGCTGCGCTTGTTGATGTGGTAATTCCCATGTATCATTAATTGTTTTGGTAATTATCTGGGAATGGTACATGGGATAATATCTGATTATTATCTGGCTTATTGTCTGGGAATGGTCATGGGACAGAGTTACCATTATTGGGTAATTATCTGGGAATTATCTAGAGTTCCCATGATTAATATGGTTACTAATGGGCAAGACTAGTTGCAAATAGTTGTAATATTTAGTGGGATGTGATATGGGACACATGAATGAATGATTGACGGTACAACGTAATTAATACTAATATTATCCCATGATATTTACGTATATATAGGGTAATTGTGATACAACACAATGGCTGGTTGGTGGTTTGGAACATGTTTTATTTTTCCATATATTGGGAATAATCATCCCAACTGACTAATATTGTTCAGAGGGGTTGAAACCACCAACCAGTATATACTCGTACATATATATATATACAGGGTACTTGTGATACAACATTATGGGATATGATAGAATTAATGGATATGACTGGGATGGCAATATGGTCTATTGATCGTGGGATGATATTTTTCTTATGAGATGGTGAAATAGAGCCAAAGATATTCCCAGTAGATCACTGAAAATGGCTTAACTATAACAGCAATAATATAAAATCAAGGGATAACTATGGGATATTAATATTGATATGTGGGAATATAGTGGGTATTAATTATAGTAGTGATATATAATAGTGGCAATGTGATACCTGGCTATATATTCCCATTATATCACAGCAAGTATACCGTTCCATTATACCATATTAGAATTGGGTTGATCAAGCATTGCTCAATTGAAAATCCACTATGTATAGATGATTTACCCGCTTACCCAGCTACAAACATCCATTTTATCATCATTTATCGGGAATTTTTAATTGCCACGTTTGATGCCAGTGGATACTGGAGCTAGCCTAAAGAGCTCAATTTTGAGCATTGTCCCAGCTGACCAGCCAAAATGGGGCACGAATCCAAACATGATCATGAAAATCAGCACCCTTGTCATGATGTCCTCCTCCTACTCCTCATCAATGTAGGAATTATTACGCTTTTGTGGGTTGTGTCGTCTCAACATGTCTCAACAGCTGCATAGACAAAAAGACCACCCGTCGAAACAGCGCTGTAACACTTCCATGTAGCAACGGTAGGTGCACACGGGTCCATTTTCCATGAATATGTGTGGCCTCTATCTAACCCTCTCAGAAGCACTGGCCATTTAAATGAAACCATTGAATCTACTAGATGAATTCCATATGATTCTTGGGTGAATCATTCATTAATCATATTTATCATCCATGAACTCTCCATTCTTGTTGGTGATTATTCATGAATTATCATTAATCATCCATTAAATCATCCATAATCATCCATTATTACTACTTACCATGAGAATACCACGCTGTTTCACCGAGTTTTCGCAGGAGGATGCCTTGGTGTTGCGGCTGCGCGAAAAGGTGGCCCTGCTGAGAGAACAAGTCTCCGCCTTGTCGTAACCGTCCGAAAAAGGAAGACAGCCGCCAGGAAGAGGGTGACATTTGGGGAGACCATACCGTGGATGGAAGATATACCCTCTGGTAAACATACAAAAAGCTATTGAAAATGGCTATTTATAGTGGATTTTCCCATGAAAAATGGGTGGATTTTCCATTGCTATGTTAAATTACTGGAAGATATACTGGGATTATAATCTGTAACCTGGGATAGTATGGGATAATTATTGGTAATTCATGGTAACCATGATGCCCTTATAATCCCAGTTACTGGATAAACCGAATCTACCACGATGATGGAGCTCGCGACCACAGTATGGGTGGGAGAATATGGGATAATTCAATGGTAATTACCCTCTGGCAATTTGTTACGTAGCTATTGAAAATGACCATTTATAGTGGATTTTCCCATTGAACATGGTGATTTTCCATAGTTTTTTGTATGTTTACCAGAGGGTACTGGATGCACCATGATAAACCCTATAGTTGACGACATTGATATCAGATGAGTCGGAAAAAAAATAGGGATCTACGACGGATAAAAAACCGTACCCCACAACTGGCTAGTCATGGGATTTGGAGCTACAAGTGACATGTCGGAGCGATATGTCACGGATGTTCCAATGAATCGACTGTGATGATCGACCTTTTCGTTTTTGTTAGTTTTCTGATGTTTTCTGTAATCTATGCCTGTGATCCACAGGTTTGTGGTGTTATTGTGGTGTACTCCAATTTGATGAACCTCAAAGAATGACCCAGGACGCAGCTATTCCCCAAACAAATAAACAACCAGTTGCTCCAGCTGACCGTCTCAAGGCCTTGACATTGGCGCGGTGCAGGGCAGCTGACGAGACGTGGAGAAAAAAATGTGGATGGAAAGTGAGCAACTCTTGTGGCTGATATTTGCTGAGATTCTATTGGCCACAATACTGTAGTCTATAAGTCATCGCCTGAATGGTGGATCATGATAGTTGCGAGTTGTACATTTTTGTGATGTTGTTTCACGTCATGCACCCTGTATTACAGTGCCGGTAAGCATCATATCTTTCTGTTATGCCAACCGTTGCCAGGAGTCCCATGAATACTGACTTGGGAGTTCGCAAGGCCACGTCCGACGGGTGCCCGATGAGTGGTATCTGTGATGGGTAGTATGATTTGATACTGACGAAAAACCACGGTAAATAATCGTCTTAAATCTTAAATGATCTGACAAGGTACTGCTATGATGGTCCATGGATGATTTTGTCAGAAAGCTTGGAAAGCCTATCTGTAAAGCTCCATGATTTGTCAAGCATACCCATTTAAAATCATTCTTGCGCCAAAAGACCAAACCCCTTAAGCCTCCTGTGCAGTAGCAGCATTCCAGCCCAGCCCATCATCGGGGCCGTCTGTGACGATCACTTTGACCCAACTGAAGCGACGACGTTGTGGGAATGATAATCTTGATAGTATTGATATACAGTATTGATCGGTATTGTAGTAGTACAACTACAATGATATTAGTTGATATATATATATATTCATATATATTCAAATATATATATATGTACATATACCATATGCATTTGTAAAAATGGCGATGGATGGATGGATGGATGATCCATCGATTTATTGATTGGTAGGTATATAGGTAGACAGCATAGGTAGACAGCAGTTACCCTCTGGTTACGACTAATATAGCCATGGTATAGATGGCCCATAGAAATAGTGAATTTTCCCATTAATAAGATGGTGGATCTTTCCATGGCGAACTGTTAGTCATAACCAGATGGTACTGTATATAATGCACAGCAATGTACACCACAGAAATATGCACCGCCTCCCAGCGCCAGGCCCAATTCTTTGATCGCTGCTTACGGGCAGATCGTTCCGTGGAATATCCCAGGCCGGAAGGCCGGAAAAGGCGGAAAATCTACAGACCACTCTTGGTTTCAGGGTAGAAATCATGATGTTTTTCATGGTGGTAGATAATATATGATAATATATCAGAGCGGCCACCAATTGAGTTCTGGAAGAAATCAGTGTGCCTTTTGAGCACAGAAACCCACGCATAGCTTCTTGATTTTACCACCCAGTCCGCATGTATCAGCTGACCCCAAGACCATCAGCATGTCATTTTACAAGTTGTCAAACCGTTTTGAAGTCATCCTGAGGTGCGCGCAGAACGTGACGCTGCTCTCGAAGCAGCATCACGTCACGCTGCAGCAGCCTCGCGTCACGCTGCAGAAGCCTCGCGTAACGCTGCAGAAGCCTCGCGTAACGCTGCAGAAGCCTCGCGTACCGCTGCAGAAGCCTCGCGCAACGCTGCAAACGCCCCACTACACTAATTACACTACACCACAACTACAACTACACTACAACTACAACTACAGCTGCACTACACCACACCACACTACGCAGTTGTGGGTGAGGTGACCGACCAGGTGACCATTGCAACCATTGCACTGATGGATCACACAGCTCCAAGCACCTTTCGGTCCATCAGTGCCACCGCCTTGTGCAGTACTACTGGTGTGACTAAGTGATTACTAGTCATTAAAATCATTGAACGAGTCATTTTTCTGCCTCAACGTTGTGAGGCGTCCAGCCCTGCCGCCGGTGAAGATCTCGTCCTTCCGTGCCCAAGAGGTGGGAGACCAACAAAAGTCTGATATGGAGATCTTGTTAAAACACATTTAGTGACTAACAAGTTTTAGTGTTCACCGCAAGTCTGATGTTCACTGACTAAACTTGTTGGTTTTTGGTTCTTATGGAGTCCGTTTAAGATGCAACATAAACATCTACATGAAAATGTCCATGTAAATCTTTGATGCAACTGATGTGACCCCCAAAAAAAAAACATTATTTTGAAGCGACCAACCCCAAATCCATTTTTGCACGTCTCTTGTTGCAGGTGAAAGTGCCAAACTCACCAAAGGCTCCATGGCATAGGCTGCGGACGGCGGTTTGTTGGGTCGGTTAGCTATATGACCGGGTTATAAAATGTTATAAATAGGTGGTTACATACAACAAGAAAAGGATGTGTCTGAGATGAACAAGATTGAACAAGGGAGCGTATGGTGTAGTACTTGCGGTATTTTGTGTATTTGATCACGGTGTACAGTGGTCTGGACATTCTGTCACCGCATTTTGGCGACTTTTCCAACAATGATGCATGATGAATTAAGGTTGTGTCAGCAAGATGCAATGGGTGATTTTTCTCACTGAAAGTCAGAAACCGAAACAGTTTCTTGGTGTTTTCATGCCCGGGACCCGTTTGGGCAAAGGGCCTTAGCCATTTCACCGAGGTTGTTCTCACATTCAGTCGGATTCAATCAATTTCGTTGAAATGGCCTTGTCCCAGCATTGAGTTTATATACTGTATCTCAGAAAGTGAGATGTGCCGTTTTGGGAGGTGTGTGTTATGTGCAAATCATGGTCATGTGGCAGATGGACTCATCATTTCTATACCCTTGAGATCTCTTGTGCATTGGTATTTTGTTGCAGTTTGCCATGGATGCCATGGATGCCATGGCATCTTGAAAGATGATTTACCTAGTGTGGATGGACCAAATCCTGCACCAGTTGGTATCGGTAGCTAATGGGATAAACCATCTACCATTTGGATCCATTTGGTGCAGGATTTTGATGTTCCGCTTCGCACACTGTGAAATTCATCACATCTTCATGTCATTCTTTGCTCAAAGGTTTTTCCGTTTCCGGTTGGCGGCTTATCACTCATTTATACATGGATGATCTTCCTCTTCGAAAAGTAAAGCTAAGATTCTCGCCACGTTTGATTACCAGAGGGTAACCATTGAATGCTGGATCTTTGCCACCGGTTTGGCAGGGCATCCACCAACGAGAACCAGGAGTTTTTGCGGCCTCGGAATCCAAGGGGCATACTCAGGGCAATCTTAGTAGGGAAAATAATGATAAAACTGCTAGGAATTATTAGAAGTTTACTATGGATTAGCCTATTTTCAGACAAAGCCAAATGATGATTTCTGCAGAATTGGCATTTAAACGACAAAGATGGTATATTAAGCCAATTAAATGCAGATTGAATGAACCAAAATAGGAATTGTTGGATAGTTGGATAGTTTATCCTGTTTATAGATTTTATAGTGACCTCGGACAACCAAAGCATATAGATGGTGGTTAATGTTTAGAAACCATGAAATTTTGGGATTCTTTGGACGGAGAGGTCAAGAAAAAAACAGCTCTCTGCTTGGTTTCTGAAATCCCATGAGCCACTATTTTTGGTGGATGAAATCTAGATTCTAGATGTGTGTTCTATTTCTCGGGAACCCCCCTCAGGATATTACTCGGGGTTGTCATCCAATGACAGTTGTATGTATATATATATATATATTCATATACATATTCCTATATATATGTATAGAATGGGCTAGCGCCCGGGTGCCGCCGACCCCCCTATTTGGGGGGTCCTGCAGAGAGAGGGAGAGAGATGGATGGATGGATGGATGGATGGATGGATGGATGGATGGATGGATGGATGGATGGATGGATAGATAGGTAGAGAGATAGAGAGAGAGAGAGAGAGAGATAGACAGATAGATAGATAGACAGTTGGATAGACAGATAAGTAGATGGAGAGATAGATGGAGAGATAGATGGATAGATAGATAGATGGATAGATAGATAGAGAGGGAGAGATAGATAGAGGGGGAGAGAAAGATAGAGAGGGAGAGATAGATAGATAGAGAGGGAGAGATAGATACTCCGACGGCATCCGACGGCATCAGCGGTTCAGTGGGTCAGTGGCGCGTCGCTTCCGGCGGGCCGTGCTGAGGTCGATGGTGGTACATGGTGGGACAGACATGGACATATATGTTTTGATATGCCCCAACATGCCGCAATTCAATTTGCCACACAATGTGCAATGTGTATGCAATGAGTATGACGCTACAAATTTGAAGTCAGACCTCAGTTCAAATTTTTAAGCATATTTTGCCTCCTATCATTGTATGATTGGTGGTAGAGTATCATTGATTTTGAAACTCAGGGATAATCAAGGGTACTGATCTCCGGAAGCTGCTGAGCTTGCCGCGCCAGGGCCACGAGTTGTGGCGCCTCATCATCGCCATGGCCTGGAGCTTCACATGGTGGGGCCGAGGGGTTGGGGGATGGGGATGGGGATGGGGTGGGGTTGGTGTGTTGGGGGTATCAAAAATATACTAAAAAATTGGTGTTTTGGGGTTTTGCGGGCTGGCAAACGGCAGGCTTGAGCCACCATAAAAGGACAATGCCGGGGCTGGCAAACGGCATGGGAGCTGCAGGGAAGCATTTGGGTGGTTTTGCGGGCTGGCAGACGGCAGGCTTGAACCACCATAAAAGGACAATGCCGGGGCTGGCAAACGGCATGGGAGCTGCAGGGAAGCATTTGGGGGGTTTTGCGGGCGGGCAAACGGCAGGCTTGAACCCCCATAAAAGGACAATGCCGGGGCTGGCAAACGGCATGGGAGCTGCAGGGAAGCATTTGGGGGGTTTTGCGGGCGGGCAAACGGCCGGCTTGAACCACCATAAAAGGACAATGCCGGGGCTGGCAAACGGCATGGGAGCTGCAGGGAAGCATTTGGGGGGTTTTGCGGGCTGGCAAACGGCAGGCTTGAACCACCATAAAAGGACAATGCCGGGGCTGGCAAACGGCATGGGAGCTGCAGGGAAGCATTTGGGGGGTTTTGCGGGCGGGCAAACGGCAGGCTTGAACCACCATAAAAGGACAATGCCGGGGCTGGCAAACGGCATGGGAGCTGCAGGGAAGCATTTGGGGGGTTTTGCGGGCGGGCAAACGGCAGGCTTGAAACACCATAAAAGGACAATGCCGGGGCTGGCAAACGGCATGGGAGCTGCAGGGAAGCATTTGGGGGGTTTTGCGGGCTGGCAAACGTGGCAAACGGCATGGGAGCTGCAGGGAAGCATTTGGGGAGTCTTGCGGGCGGGCAAACGGCAGGCTTGAACCACCATAAAAGGACAATGCCGGGGCTGGCAAACGGCATGGGAGCTGCAGGGAAGCATTTGGGGGGTTTTGCGGGCGGGCAAACGGCAGGCTTG